CCTGAATTTTTTAAATCCACTGAGGAAAACATAAACAGAGCTTTTTATGGTATTGGTTGCAGAAGAGTTTTCGGTGAGAAGACTCTGCTGGTAAAGAAAATAGACACAGAAATAAATGCCATGATGTTAAAAACAAAAACTTCTTCACAGTCTATGAAATGAGGCCTAAGCTTAGGGACACCATACTGAAAAACAGTAAAAAAATATTCACACATGAGACCAAGGGCCAATTTCCCAGATATATACAGCATTCACAAAATTAAATAACAAACAAGAAAACCAATAACGTCATCCAAAAACAGAAGGGAGCACAAACAACTCTCTTAACAAAGTCATAAAGATGATCAACAGATATGTGAAAAATTGTTTGTTATCATGGGTTATCAGGGAAAAGAAAATAAAATGCCAATGGCATACCACCGTATAAACTAGTGAGAACAGCCCATATTGAAAATAATGGGAACAACCATCATTGGTGGACGTGTGGTATAAAATGAACCCTCATTCACTTAGGTGGGATTTCTCTCTGCTGCAATCTTTATGGAAAAGGGCAAGGAGACATTAAGAATAGAACTTCCATGTGACTCAATGATCCACCAGGACATCAATCCAAAGAACACCAAAGTATTCATATGAAAGGATTTTACCACACCTATGTTCACTGGAAGCAGCACTGTTCACAGTAGCCAGGATTCAGAAATAACCCTAATGCCCAGCAACAGGTGAATAGTTAATGAAATTGTGATATTTACATATGAAATTAAATACCACTCAGCTTTGAGACAAGATAATATCATGCAGTTTGCCATAACCTGGATGGAATTGGAAGGAATTGTTCTATGTGAAATGAGTCTGGATAAAAAAGATAAATACTGAATGATCACAAAGCAAGGGATTAGCTAGTTCCCAATGGAAACAAATCCTGAGAAATTGCCAAGAGAACAGTGCATGGAGGCTACAAAGGGGTAGGAGGAAGAAAGAAGGAAAATTGGCACATTGATGGTGATGGGGTGGTGAAGGACATGGCTAAGTATGAAACGATAATATAGGAACTATGTTACCTGAACAAAAGGAAAGCCAGAATTGTCTAAATAGCAATATATTTTGTTACCAAAGTGAATTTGCTTAGTTTGATTTATTTAATGCTAAAAATCCATCTGAAATGTATTTCAGGATATAAAGAACTCAGCTTGCATAAAAAAAGCAAATGTCTCCAGATGATTATATCTTAGAACTGGGAATTGGAGTCAATCACGTTTCTCTCTTTATATTTTCTATAGAACTATGGCTGGAACAATAGCACAGCAGTAGGGCATTCACCTTACAAGTGGCCAACATGTAGCCGACCCGAGTTCGATTCCTCCGCCCCTCTCGGAGAGCCCGGCAAGCTACCGAGAGTATTCGATATGCCAAACACAGTAACAACAAAAGTCTCCAATGGAGACGTTACTGGGCCCGCTCGAGCAAATCGACGATCAACGGGAGGGCCTTTACCTTTACCTTTGGGCTGGAGCGATAGCACAGCGGGTAGGGCATTCGCCTTATAAGCGGCCAACATGGCCGACCCGAGTTCAATTCCTCCGCCCCTCTTGGAGAGCCCGGCAAGCTACCGAGAGTATTCGATATGCCAAACACAGTAACAACAAAAGTCTCCAATGGAGACATTACTGGGCCCGCTCGAGCAAATTGACGATCAACGGGAGGACCTTTACCTTTACCTTTTTATGTGTTATTGACTTTGTTAAAGAAGGTAAGAAAAAATGCAAAAACAAAACGCTTTCCTCCAAAAATCAGACGGTGATCTCTGTTTTATTCCTGGAGGCCTCCCACTGTTGCTCTGCTGAGATATCATTTATACTGTGGTTTCTGTGACTGCCAGGAATTGGAGTCACACAGTGCAGAGCCTGTGGAACTGTGCCCTGACCTCTTCTAATATTTACCATTTTTTCTTTGAAAAGTATTTCTTGGGGATTGGACACTTGCTTGCCTTGCAGGAGGCTGACCCTGGTTTAATCCCCAGCACTGCATCTGATCCTTCAAACACCATCAGGAGTAATCCCTGACCACATAGTCCAAATAAGCCTGAGCACAGCCACGTGTGGCTTCTAAACACAAAATATGATAAAATAAAAAATTCCTGAATCATAAATTTATCCCTTAAACACTAGTGATAGTTGGAAAAACATGACAGATTCACATTGCCTGTCTCACTATTTAAAGGTAACTAGGATTACCATTTCCATTCCTCACACAATTCTTTCACTTGCCTTCCATCTAAAAGAGAAGATTAACCCAATTTTAAAATTTATGTTTTTCCCTCCAGAGCATTATATTAATATTTTCTCATCTTATTAAGCTTTTGTAAATATCTTTTAAAATGGCCGTAAAACATGAATATTTTATATTAAACCTTCAAGTTAAATTCATAAGTTTTGCTCAAACAATGAATTTCTCTCTGAAATTTTTTGTCCTCACTTTGTATTATTTGCTTGGTATGAGCTGAGAGGAAAGTATGGCTATCATTAAGCTTTTGAATACACGTGGTTCAAATTGCTTTTTAAATGGCTTGTTTCAATTTGCACTCTTTCCTGGAGGACATGTCGTTTTTCAGAGAACCAAGACCTTACTGGAAAAGTACTAACATATATTCCAAAGATGTACCTTTGTTCAGTTGGTAGAAGGAAAAATTCTACCTTGATTGAGAAAAAATAAATTTCAAATAGTTTTCAACAATTTGCATCTTATCTTTGTCAATTTTCTTTGGGGATGCTTTGTTATTTAAATAACTCTTAATTTAAATCAACTTGCAGAGTACATTGTCCATTAATATATATTATTTATAGCATACATATTTCTTATTTGGTGTCCTGTTTCTCTGTGCACTTTATATATGGATTATTTTAATATTTATGAATTCATGGATTTTCCCTTTCCTTTGCATTTTCTTTCATGGCTTTATTAGCCCTTCTACTTTTAGAGATCAGACTCACATCAATTTGTGTGGTTTCTATTATGACTTCTTTTCTATCATTTATTTCAATAGACCATATACTTTGGGGTATTGCAAGTCAACAAGAATCTGAATTGGCCCCCCACCCACCTAAAGAGCTGGGTAATTCGCCCAATCATCTTACAGACCACCCTATTCAATTACTTTGATAACAAAAAAAATGCTTTTATTCTAAAGGTGTGATCAGGGGGTTCGGAACTATCTAGTAGTGGTATGCCAGTACCACTCAAAGATTCTACACCCTCATCTCCTTTCACTGTTCCCTCAACTCTCTGCAATAGGGACTTGGATTCCACCCCTTTATACAGGTAGGAGGAAAGAAGGCAAGAAAAGTCACTAGAATTGGAATCAAACAAACTCTTGAGTCTTCACCTGACCTGGGCAAGAAGTAAGGTTTCCCATTCCACACTCTGGCTCAGGAGGAACCACATACACTGGTTCTTTCACTTTCTTAGGAAAATGTGGCAGGCCTAAAAGGAGGAGATTCACAACTGTAGAAAAAGCACACACCTTAAGGCCAAAGGAACTTAGCTAAGCCTGGGTGGTGCAGGGGATTCCAGGCAGCTCTGGGAAGAATCTCGAATGCTGGAGGGAATGCAGTGCTTAAGCCCACATGGAGCAGAGATGAGGTTCTGACCTGAGTCTGTGCCAGATTCCTTTCGGACATGTTACCTCACAAGGTTGGCTCAGGTACAGGTATGTGCATGTGATGCTTCAAAAATGAAAACATGTAAATGTCTGTTTTCAGAAAAAAACGAGTATAGAATCATATGACACCATTATTAATTTGCTCAAGCGGGCCCAGTAATGTCTCCATTTTGAGACTTGTTGTTACTGTATTTGGCATATTGAATACATCACGGGTAGCTTGCCAGGCTTTGTCGTATGGGCGAGATACTCTCGGTAGCTTACCAGGCTCTCTGAGAGGGGTGGAGGAATGGAACCCGGCTCCGCTGGGCAGGCTGCGTGCAAGGCAAATGCCCTACCGCTGTGCTATCGCTCCAGCCACCATTATTAATGTTGAATAAAAATACTTGATGACATAGGAAAATTCCCTCCATGCATTACTGAGTAACATTTCAAGTCATAAGGCTTTGTGTTCAGCATGGTTTTACTTAGAAAAATGCATATGTGTTTATATATTTTATATGGTATAAATTGAAAAGTATATAATACCTTTTTAGGAAAATGATGGGATATGTCTATATATACACAGAAAAACAGAAGACTACGTGTTCAAATGCACATTTTATCTATGGATTTAGAATGTGAGCTGTGAGATCTTAAGTAATTCATTTAAATTCTCTGATTCTCATACTGTTATCAATAAAGCAGAAATTATGCTTACTACTTCATGAGGTGAGGTAGTATATGCACTCAGATAAAAGCACTCAGAATGGTACCTGGCAACAAACACGCAGGAAGCATTCATTACTGTTATGATTATCTAAAAAATTCATAAATACATATTCAAGGAAATTGTGATAGTCTGCCTTAATGTTTATGAAAGTGATGTTTCACCATACAAAGTCTGAGAGGAAGCCTTTGTTGTTTCCAGGTGGAAAGTGGCTCCGGTTCAGGCCCCTAAGGAGGATTGCTCACACTCACTCACACCCAAGATCCTGCTCAGCAGCCCACACTCAGATTCAGAGACTCCCACAGGCTCAACTTCCCCCACCCCTGAAGAACTCATTTTCTATCCTGTACCCTGAGACCACCCCTACCTTTTTATCCTGCCCCATTCTAACAATGAACACCTTTGCCCTTCTCTCTCCTGGCTAGAGAGGGTCTGGCGGTCTGTCAGGGCCTGCTCTTTCAATCTTACTCAGTGAATGAATGAATGAATGAATGATTGAATGAATGAATGAGTGAGTGAGTGAGTGAAGAAATGAGTGAATGAGTGAACAACTCCAGTCCCATTTACTCCCAGGAATTTAACCCAGAGCTCATTGCAGTCACCCAGATTAAGAGCTTGTGTGGTCTTCATTACCTCCCCATATGCGATGGTATTATTGTATCTTCTCATTTCTGGGTAGACATGGTCCAGGTACCACTGGAAATTCTTACACTTTAAACTCTTCCTTAATGCTCTTCTCTCGGAGACATCACCTATGTCAATTCCTGGATTCTGCAAGCAGAGAGAGAAGCAAAGGGCTGAAGATTATGGGCCACATGGTTTCCAGGGAAACTTTCCTTGGGTTTGACACCCTTGTGCCCATGCACAAGGTCCGTTTAAGTGGACCTTGATCGTCTAGCATCTAAATTGACCGACAAATGGCCATCTTCATCGATGCTGACAACCCCTACTCTGTCTCCCCCACATCTGCTCAGTCCCTATGAGAGGCAATCATTAGAGGAATTATTTGATTAAGATAAGAAACTAAATGCCTAGAACTACCTCCCATCTTTCCTTTCTATACATGTGTAATTTCCCCCTTTGTTGGCTCATGCTGAAGTTCATTATATGCAGAAGTGAAAATAATTTTCCATTGCAAAGCTTGTAATGATGTTCTAATGAATAATTCACTCTGCTTTTACAGAAATGAACCTGTAATGGGCTGCTGTGTGCTGACAGGGGGAAATGAAGTTGCTGAAATACGGCTCCTCAGTCTCAGATGCAAGATGGCCACTGATAGGCCACGGAGGGACAGAGGTGGGAGCAGCTCCCCAGCGGGCGGGCGGGTGGGTGGCAATCGCGGGCCCAGGAGGAGGGTTCAAAATATTCCAGGAAGGTTTGCTCTACCGCCAAACTGACTTCCAAGGGAAATCCTCTTCTTTCAATCCAGTGGCAGAGCCGGGCAGCACTATTTCTAGATTTTACTATACTGAGCACCATTCAAGGAAACTGTCATTTTAGAATGGTGAGGTCAAGTAGTCCTGGCATTAGGGCCAGGGGGTGTTGGCAGTGACGGAGAAAGCCTGGGGCAGGTGTTAGAGCCCTGATTTCTCCCAGCTCTGAGCTGAAGTCTTGACTCTTCATCTGGGAAAGAGAAATAGCAACATAGAAGCTGGTGGTATTTGGGCTTCACAGGACCATGGTAGGGTCGATGAAGCTGTGCTAGGCTTCTGCTCTGCCTTGTGTGGAGGATCCTGAGCAAGGCTCATCTGTAAAGTGCACATCTTCAGAGGCTCCACCATGCTCGCATTTACTCTTCATCACTGCTCTACTCTGCTCTATGCATGAGGTTCTAGGAACGCTGTGAGATAAACATTAGCCAACCCTGTTTTACAATGAGGGAAGCTGAGACAGATATTTCAGTGTCAGGAGGTGGTGGAGAAGGCTAAATAAGAAATCGACACCAGGAAATCACCGAATGCCTGGAATGATAAGGACTCAACAAATACCACTGAGCTTTACATAATAACAATGCATAAAATCCCATATAATTTAACAGTTACGAACTGCTACCTGGTCTTAAGGGGGATTTCCATTGCTTCGGAACATTATTTCAATAATCATAACCACAGTGATATAAATTATTCCTTTTTATCCTCCTTATCCACACGTATTTAAGTGCGTTTCTGCTGCTCTGGGCTCCAATTTCCTGACATGCAGAGACTGCAATTTCTGGCTGAGGAAATTGTTCTCCTATTTCTTCTTACCCCACTATTCTGGGGTAAGAGGAAATCCTCACCAACATTCCCAAATACGGATACTGTGGCAGGCAAGACTCTTAGAATATCCTCCATGTTTAGATTCGGTACTTTAGTACCCAAAATTGCCCCAGGAAAGCAGACCTACAGCTATCTCCATTTTGTAGGTGAGGATGCTAACAAACAGGCAAAAAAGTGGCTTTGTTCAAGATTGTAGTGGTAGTAAAGTAGGTGGCAGAGTTGCAACTCCAATCAAGTCAATGCTGACCATGTGCGACAACTCTAGGGGTTGCAGAATCAGAGTTTCCCAAGCATGTATTCTGGGAAGAATTTAGGAGCATGATAATGGACCTTATAAACAAGAGGTCTCTCACTTGGAAGTACCTAGTCCCAGGCCCTGGAGCACCATTAGAAGACACAGAGAGAGCAGACAGCAGGGTCTCGTGCTGAGAGTCTTCAGACACAAAGCATGTCCTAGAGTTGGGCATCCGAATTAACATAAGAAGACTGGGAACATCCCAAGAGCCCTCTAATTTTAGTAAATGAACTTCCGTGTTCCCAGCCCAGGTGAAGCAGGAAGTCTGGGAATGACCCCCAAGTGCATTCCTCCTAGTGTGAGCGTGAGCATCTTTCTAGAAAGGAAGCATCAGCGTATTCAAGGCATCATGGCCTGTCCGTGATGTGGGGTCACTGTTGGAGGGATGATGTGAAACACACATTAGTGGCCGTACCTCCAGCGGCAGGTTCCAGGCTATGTACACGTGAGATTTGTAATCGTCCATCCAGACCTCCGCAACTCGGAGAGCGTTCCTCTTGGTGTAGAAGCCAATGTTGCTGTTGTACGGCTTCTTCTTCCGCTCAATGTGGGCCACCCGTGAGCATGGCAGGACTTCCATGCTGCCCCCACAGAGCCACACCTGAGGAGAAAAAACCAGGGACGTCATCGGCGTGAGCATGACAGATTCCCAGAGGCCATGTGCCCACGAACCCCAGTGCAGTGGTTGGTGCCTCAGCAGGACTGAGGAAGACATTTTACTATCTAAGGACACTAGACTGCAGGGTGATGAAAATCCAGCTTTGGGGACCAACAAGATTGTTCCCTGCTGAGATTCTGTTCCCTTTACATAAGCAGTTGTGCTGATGAAGTTGGCTCAGTGATGCTCCACCCAACCTGGCCTCTTCAAGCTCCTGGAACTTTACTAATTTTGGTCACAAACCCCAAGACTGTGTGATTATCTGTTTCTATTTCCTAACTATTTAATACCATAGGGACTTGAAATGGATGGAAAAGTCTACCCATTAGTAAGAACCCTAACCTTGCTTGTTTCTTCAAGGAGACTGGTGAGTCCACGGGCTGGCAGAGCGGGTGATTCAAAATATTTTGATTAGGGGATGATCAAACCCTTGCCTTTGAGTTGGAGCAGACCCAACTCATAGCAGTGGTAGAAACCAAGACAGGAGGCCAACACTGGCAAGAGGCCTGTGGGGAGGAAAGTTCTTTTTCTGTCCTTGCCAAAGGGGGAGGGGAAAATAAGAGGCTTTGCAGGGTAAAGCAAGGTGTCATAATGCTCAGTATCCAACCATCATATGGCTTTTGATAGTTTCAAGATATGGGAAAGAAAGATATATCATGTGTCCACAAAGTGGAAGACAGTGTCATAACATTGGCAATGTGCTCACAATCCATGTAAGAAGTAAAAAAATCTCTCTTAAAAATTCCATATGGCCTTGTGGAAATACAAGGGAAACAAAATAACCCAGAAGAGGATAAAGTTGAAAGACTGACATTTCATGACCATCATCAAGACAGAGTGGTTCTAGCCAAAGGACAGACAGACAGATCAATGGAATAAAATTGAGACTCCAGATACAAACTTTCATATTTATGATCAGCTGACTTTTAATAAAAGTGACAATACAATTTTATGGGGGGGAGAAATAATATTTTAAACAAACTCTCTTATGAGTGACTTTGAAACCCCTACCTCACACCATAAACTCAAAACTATAGTAAAATGGATGAAAAACGTAGACATGAGTTAAAACCATAAGAAATCTTAGAAGACAACATGAGGTTATATTTTCATAATCTTGGATTAGGTTAATAGTCATAAACTAATGAATAGATCACTAAAAGCTAGTATATTCATTCATATGACAGAATATTGTTTAGCCATAAACAAAACAAAACTAGGTATATGCTACCACATGGATGAACCTTAAAAAATTATGTTGAGTGAAAGAGGTAAATTGCAAGGGACCATTTCATTTTTTTCATTTCATCATCCTGTTAATCGTCGATTGCCTCGAGCAGGCCCCAGTAACGTCTCTTTCATCCTAGCCCTGAGATTATATTCAGGGCTCTTTAGGAGAATGAGACCCATCATTGTTACTGGTATTTGGCATATTTGGTAGGCCACGGGGAGTTTGCCAGACTCTGCCCTGTGGGCAGGCTACATTCGACAGCCTGCAAGTTTGTCCAAAGTAGGAATGAGATAATAAGATGTCATAAAAAGAAGTCCTGATAAGATGTCGCACGGCCGCGCGAGCTGGATTTTATAGTCTCTGAGTCTTGGCCGCTGATGGGATTACACGGCGCCAGGGGGCCAGGTGGTGGGTGTGACCCCCGCCTACCGGAATTTGGAGGATCTGGGTGGAAGATGCTCGACTCCAATTCGAGTAGGCTTGGAGGTCTCGGCCCCGGAACCCGCGTGGCTTTGTCCCTCTGCCAGTACCTTCAGGTGTGCGGAGAGTGGTCTCAGCATGGTGGTGGCTGGTCCTGGAGGTCTCCGGCTGCCGTAGCCCTGGCCGGGGCGGGGAGGAAAGCTCAACCCGCTCCCCTCCAAGGGACTCCGGGAAGGAACACCGAGGCGCGGGGGCAGAGACTGCACTGCTCTCGTCCGGGATCTGGATTTTATAGTCTCTGAGTCTTGGCCGCTGATGGGATTACACGGCGCCAGGGGGCCAGGTGGTGGGTGTGACCCCCACAGTCTCTGCCCCCACGCCTCGGTGTTCCTTCCCGGAGTCCCTTGGAGGGGAGCGGGTTGAGCTTTCCTCCCCGCCCCGGCCAGGGCTACGGCAGCCGGAGACCTCCAGGACCAGCCACCACCATGCTGAGACCACTCTCCGCACACCTGAAGGTACTGGCAGAGGGACAAAGCCACGCGGGTTCCGGGGCCGAGACCTCCAAGCCTACTCGAATTGGAGTCGAGCATCTTCCACCCAGATCCTCCAAATTCCAGTAGGCGGGGGTCACACCCACCACCTGGCCCCCTGGCGCCGTGTAATCCCATCAGCGGCCAAGACTCAGAGACTATAAAATCCAGATCCCGGGGACGAGAGCAGTGCAGTCTCTGCCCCCGCGCCTCGGTGTTCCTTCCCGGAGTCCCTTGGAGGGGAGCGGGTTGAGCTTTCCTCCCCGCCCCGGCCAGGGCTACGGCAGCCGGAGACCTCCAGGACCAGCCACCACCATGCTGAGACCACTCTCCGCACACCTGAAGGTACTGGCAGAGGGACAAAGCCACGCGGGTTCCGGGGCCGAGACCTCCAAGCCTACTCGAATTGGAGTCGAGCATCTTCCACCCAGATCCTCCAAATTCCAGTAGGCGGGGGTCACACCCAAGGGACCATATATTGTATTAACCCACTGAGAAAATGTCCAGAGTGTGAAAATGCACAGAGACAGGAAATAGTTGGTGGTTGGTAGGGCTGGGTAGAAATGGAAGAAAGCAGGGTGTCTGTTTAACGGGCATGGTGTGTCTTTTTAGGGCAATAAAATTGTCCAATTATGAGCATCATGGTGATTACTTCACAAGTCTTGAATAGACTAAAAACCACTGAGTTGTATACTTTAAATGGAAAAACAGTAATGGTTAGTGAACCTTCAGCAAAGTGGTGACATAGATAAGAGGTGATGCATAGTAAGCAGATGGAAAGGAAGGTAGCACATGGTTGAAGATAAGTAGCAGGTAGGTAGTACATAGAGATTTACATAAAGGGTGGATAGGTAGAGGCTAGACAGGTAAGTGGAGAGTGAGTAGACAGTAACAGGACGACAGACAGTAGATTTACAGAGGATAAAAAGATAGGTAATAGGTAGATAAATAATGTAGATTGGTAGGTAGATAATGGGTAGGTAGATAATGGGTTGGTAAGTAGGTAATGGGTAGGTAGAGTCACAGAGATGGAAAAGGGAAGATCAGGGATGGGATCCGGGAGGACCAGGAGGTGCATGCAGAGGGGAATCTGTGCTTTGGGGAGCACAGATGGGATTACACAAACACTTGATAGCAGTCAAGCGAATGGAGCGGGATGGCACACAGAGCAGAACTCATGGCTATGTAGACATGAGTGGTGCAGAGCACAGCCAGGATTGTCCCTGGTCCAGAAACAACAAGGCCCTGGAAGGGCCAAGTGACCTCAGGAGTGGGGTGGGAGGGGTGACAGCATCCCAGGCAGGGAGGGAGGCCATGTTGCACTTCATCCCATGTCAGGGATATCATTTTATGCACCCAGCTACTGTGTGGGCATCAGTGGGCATACTCAGGCCACCCACTTGGAGAACATTTCATTCCCTGCTCCTCCCTACCCATCTTCAGGGATCACTAGTAACCTCAAGAAGGAGAGCTGGCAGAGGTGCCCCTAGGTCAGGCGTCCCACTGCCCAGTCCTCCCGCCCCGAACCAGTGAGCTGTCCTTCCCCTGGCTTGAATGCATCTCTATCCTACGGAATTGCACGGAGACATAACGGCTTTCCTCCTGAAATCCTACCAAAATTCAATTTCAATCTTCTACCTTATTTATTACTCTTTCTCAGAAATAGGATTTATAAATATGGGCCTCAAGACATATCTCAATTTAAGTACCGCAGCGGCGAGAACCCCTAAATACCTGGATTCTATTGCCAGTCGATGCAAGTCATTTCTCTTAATACAAGATGAAGAATGAAAATGAAGCTCAGCAAACGGCTGGCGAGGGCGGAGGAGGACTAGAAAAGCATGCAGGGAGCACCGAGGGCATTTTTATTTTTGTGGCTGTTGCTTGTGCACGTAAAACAATAAGATTCTGGGGAAAGCAAGTCCTGTGGGGTACAGGCTCCCTAGATTTTCCCCAGCATTAACGCCCAGACTGAGAGCATGTTGTTGACAGCTTCCAGGTTTGATAAAGAGCCCAAAGCAGCCCCGACTTAGCACTGATAGGTTTGAAGTCTTTCGAAGCCTTACACTTCTTGCCTTCTTCTCGCTACTCCTCATCCACCGCTTCTACCCAACTTTCTCAGGCTCCAGCTTCTGTCTTTGCCCTGCTCGAGACCTGGGACAAGCAGTCATTCTTTGCAAAAGCAGCTCAAGCCAGTCGATCGTAAGCACTGAACTACATTTAACCCTCTTTAAACACCCAGCAGCCAGCCTTGTGATTAAGCTCGAATAATTTACCTCTTTAGTCATTCAATTCAATGCCTGATACATGTTTATCAAGACCAGAGCTGGGAGCTAAATATGCTGCCAGGGGTGTAAAAATAATTTAGATATGGATTCTACTCCGATTCTTTGCTCTTTCTTTAGAACTTAAAATTAGAATTCCAAGACAGCGTTGCCGACTGATTTAGAAGCTGGGTGTAGCAGCCAGCCAGGAGGAGGGGGTGGTGCTACAGTGCTTTCTGCACTTGCCCGCCTGCTTCAAGGCAGTCTGGGCTTGGAGAGGAACTCAGAGGACAGGGCACTGTTCCCACTGTCCTCAACAGGAGAGCTGGGAGACTGTCCCCGTGGAAGGCCTGGCTGCACCACATGTTTCAGATACAGCGCCATCACCCTGGCTCAAAGGGCCTCAATTCTACCTCCCTGCCCCCAACACTTATTCCCCAGAGGAAGCCATTTCCACCAAAAAATGACTTTGCCCATCACAGTGGCAGTGTGTAGATG